CAATTTTCCACCATTGGTTTCCACACTTACTTGATTTGCTTCTGTATCCTTTGTGGGGTTGGTGTGTTGACTCCGCTTCTGCTTAGTATCTGGCCTCAAGTCGTTTGTGGCTTTCCTCTTTGGCCTATCAGCAATGGTGACTGCTGTCTCCATTTCGGCCTCGGCCCACTCGTCGCCGGCAGCTACAAAGTAGTTCAGTTGAGAGTCAGTGAAATTTTCACATTCCGTTTCTCCACCAGGGGGCCCTGGCGCTTGAAAATCTTTCTTTTTATGTTTGTTCATTTAAATCGGCAAGATTGAGCTGTTTTAAGATTTGGCTAACTGTTAAACAGATTGTTTACGCTAGACTGTCTTATACGTCTTGCCAGCACAAGAGACAAATCGAAACTCCCAACTGTGATTGGTTTATGGGATTGTGATTTTAGCCCCTTTCATCTTTCTAGCTGTGATTGGTTAATTGAGTTGTAATGTTATCTGCTTTCTAGCTGTGATTGGTTGCTGGGGATGCTTTCAAGCTGTGATTGGTTGATGGGAATGCTTTCCAGCTGCGATTGGTTGTGCCCATAAGCCCCGCCCCCAAATATGGTATATGTACTACAGTACTGGTTAACTAAATACTTAACTTAAACTTTATCATTACAAACAAAAAGCCTGGAAAAATTTAAAAAAATCCATTAAATAAAAGAAAAATAGAGAACATCTATCAAACAAGAGACATTCAAACAATTTTATAACAAATCTGAGGTACTATACAATTGAAACAGTTTGTCCACTTCTGATCCTCCTTTTCATTTATAGTCAGTCACCTGGCGGCTGGCAGAGCACTGTATCTAAGGAAAGCATTCCACCTTGGGTGGAAAGCTTTTTTATAAGTGAACCTCCATTTCTAGAATTCCACCCTGCTGAAGCGTCGCCAAAGATCTTGCAATATTCATCCACTCTCTGCACAGTGACAGTGGCAGACTGGCAGGGGCAGCTACATTATACATAGAGTGAATGACTAATGAGTGATAGACCATCACCGTCACACTGGAAGCCTAACCCTATAGCCCTTATTTGTCCTCTTCTTGTATTGTTGCCATCCACTGATTCCAGGCTGTTGAGTTTGCTTGGCTTTGCCGCTTTGGGTCTGGCAGAGGTTTATTCTTAACAGTTGATTCAATTTCTTGGCTGGGCCTGGGCAACTTTACATTAGCATTTAGCAGCATCTCTGGATCCAAAATTTTGGGTTCTTTTTCTTTTGGTTTCCAGGGGCAGGAGTAAGATCCTCAGAAGCTTTCCTCTTCTGTCTTTCACTAGTTGGTACTTGGTTCCACTACCGTTTCCACTTCAGCATCATTCCAGACTTCTTCACAAGCAACAAAGTGTTTCAGTTGGGACTTGGGAGTCCGTTAGATTTTCAATTTCTGCTTGGCGGCAGCTTCCAGGAGGGCCAGGGCCCAGGGCCTTGCCTGGCCCTCCGCCTTGGAAGGCTATCTTTATTAAGTTTGGTCATTTCTTTCACTGTGTTTACAGTCATACAGTGTAAAGACTATTCGTGATTTTGGTGATTAGTCTCACAGTTAAGTGTAGGTACACCACACATCTTTACAGCACAAGTGACCAATCGAAACTCACTTGAGTTATATATAAATTATAATTCCTTGACGCACATATCAGACGTCGATAGGAGTCAAAACAATCAGTGTCAGTGCAAGCTCAAACCTCAAGTCAAAGTCAATGATGAAGTTTTATACTGAATCACTGAAACCGGAAACAGTCTTCTCTTTGGCACTTATTTTATTATGTTTTGAGCGTATTGTCATGTTAAATTTTCGAGTTTAAGATAAATTTTTTGCAATAATCAGCATATGGTGTTAAGATTACTAAAACACAAGAGTATGCAAGTAATTTAGTATTTGTAAGGGAATTAACCAATAGGGTCATGTTAAAACATAGCTGTCATTCGTGTTACTTCAGCTGACAATTAGATTAAGGTACAAATTTGTGATTAAAAAATAATTCGGTGCTATTGTATAGTAAAATATTTTACAAAATAATCTTACTTCCAACATGATTTGGAATGCAAAACTCTTTTCGACACTAAAGCTCACCGAGGGTAATTATAAGCGGAAATAATAATTTAGTGATATATTAAACAAAGAGTTAAAAATTTACAACTACAACAATCCCCATTTTTTTGCTCGAGTTCGGGAAATTTCGACTCAACATTAAATAACCCAGTAAAATTTATGTTGACTAGATAAAGCTGGAATAAATATAAGCTTGGGAATACACAAATACAATAAATGCAATAATAGCCACAAATATCATGGTATATGTCTATATTACAATCATACAACATAAGAAGAAAATAAATAGTAAGAGACAGTAACTCCATCATAGCCAAATCCAACATAAATTCATTACAAACATTCAGAAAAAGCAGTTTCTAGATGATAAAAATCCAAGAATATACGGAAATATAAAGAATTGTCAGCTCACAAATCTGCTCATATTAAAAAAATGTACACTTTTCCGTTTCCTTTAAAAAATTAAGACTTTGCAATCATAAGTATGAGCTCCACAAGAGGTCAATTTTTCCATATTTAATGTAAATTGTCCGTATAATACCATGATATACCTACATCAAGTTAGCATCAATGACCTGCCCAAACCTTAAAAAATGAAAATGACTGAAATTTCCCGACCGCACGAAAGGAACATTTAAGATGCCGTTTTTACCTTCAAAGACAGAACAACATAGTTGAACGCCAGTGACCACTTTCGTTGCAGGACAAAATTGTTTATTGCGACAAGGGATTTTCAGCATGCAATTAGTTATATCGTTAATATGAAGGATAAACTATCGTTGAATGCAGAAAATAAAACGGGCACAAATGGTAATGAAATGCATACAAGTTATACCACGATTTGAGCCAATAATGAATCTTGCACTAGAGGTTATAAAGCAAACATCTTCAACAAGCTGCGAGGTACCGATCATCACGAATTTCCTATATGACAAAATAGAATATGAATTTCTCCATCATCTAATACGCAAGAGGGCTAAATGATACAGGAGACGCTTGATGAATTAACACAGATGAACAGAAATATCGACGGCGACCGCTTACACGAAACCCCGGTGGCTCGCACAAGAAACAGAAAAGGATTGTTGGTACCAACATAACACACGGCCTACAGAACAACCAAGACAACTCCTGAGACCCGCAGGGAGGCACGAGTTGTGGTGGGGTGCTCAGAAATAATGTCAAGAAAGACGAAATGACATACGACCTCTGACGAAACAAGACGCTTTTTAGAAGATCCTCATGAAATGGCATAAGGTCTAAGGTGTATAAACATAAGTCTTCTAGCAATTCCTTGCAAATTCGCGATTTACATTTCACGGATTCGTTATATCGCGGGTAGTTTCATAGGAACTTATGTCTACTAACCATAGATAATGGAATAAAATCTAAGAAATAATTTGTCTTCGCTACTGTTCTTGATGGGTTTCCGTCGTTGCTTACAACGCTTTCCGCGTTAGTCTTACTCCGTATCCTTCGCGAAAAACGAGAGTTTAAAATATACAATATCAGGAGATAAGCTAGATTATGAGTCTTAATTAGCCAGTGCAGCAATGCGGAATCTAGAGTGCAATTCTGAGAATATTGGCTGTTATTTACACTACATCACCGGAACATAGTATGAAAGCATGCTATATTCTCTCAATCATTTGCCGATGTATGAAAGACTTGCCAAAACAGTGAAGTACACTTATCAGTAATATGGTATTTTACTAGACAACAGTACTTAGGCCACCGTATCAAAATATACAGGGACATCAAATAATAAGTGGTTGATATTCACTCAGTCATCACAGCCAAGGATGGTAGCTTCCAACACTAACTATTAACCGAAGGAATCGAGGGCTTCCAAAACTACAAGGAGTCCAATGAGGAGTCCAGGTGCAACTACAAGGAGTCCAGGTGCCGAACTATAAACAATCGTTGAGTTCGCACTAAGCCAGTCAATCAATGACAGCTTTTCGAGCGAAACCTATCAATCACTGACGATAAATCGTTTAGCCAAGCTCAAGCTCCAAATCCATCAACTTTTCCATTACATTTAGTTAGGAACCGGCAAAGGAATGGTTCCTATGAATCATATTTGAAGTAAGAATTCGCATTGTCAGTGTATTCTTAAAAATTTACACATGGTGATGAGAATGTTGAGCTCATAAGCAATAAGGGCTGAATTTTTTAGATCTAAAATTCATACACTTCTTTCTGTACCGATTACAGTATAAAATGCTGAAAGCTAAAGCATTTTCATTTGCTTGGCAATAGACGGAAGCTCAAACTATAGTCAACCTTAGAGGAATATGAAAAAAGTTGTTTATGTGAACTATAACACACACATAGAAATATGGATGCACTTCAACACGCACTACACGCAATGCCACAATGTACAGCATCTTGTAAACGTTTCTTGGCTGCACGAGAAAATGTATTAACCTTTAATTGTCAAGAATCTGCAGCGGCCCCGACGCAATATTGGGCTCATGGATGAAACTGCTCTAAAACAACCAATTGGAGCCCATAGATCATCACTGAGGTAACGAGTTCAGAGTACAAAAAATTATTCCGTAACCTTGACCTGATCGATGACGTAGTACGGAAACGCAATCAGATAATAAGTTGAAAATAGGCTTGACTTAAAATATACAAAAAAAAACACAAAACGTCACGTTAAAACGTGATATGAATAATAAATTAGATTTTAAAATATCTCGCTCTCTTGTATTTCGACAAGTCCGGGAGGAATGGCATCCATGATACCCTGCCGGAAACTTGACGAGAATAAAGCTTCAATAATTCAGCCTGTGACAGTTCCCTCCCCTTGAGGTTGGCTCATGCACGGGGAGAGTGGTGCTCACAACCATCAAATGCTAACTGCGACTAATTATCATGATACTTAACCTCGTGCAAAGATTTAATGGATCCTTCCGTGGTAAATAAAGTCTATACACGATGCCAATATCACGTTAAATAATGGCGGTTAGTATTTGGAAGTTAGTAGGTTGGCGTTGAGGGGTTCCTGTTCTCCCTGATCATCATAGCACGAAGAAAAGAATAATCAAGACTATCAGCACTGCACTTAGAATGCCAATTGCCGCCCATTGTCGTCGATCTGAAAATTAAATAGACTTAGAAAAATGTTACAACTACACCATGAAAGGTTTCCAAAAATATTCGTTAACTGTGACACAAAATTATGAAATATGAAGAAATTCAAGTTGTTACTTACTCAGTGATATTTATAGATAATGTTTTGCCGAAAAATAGTTTCATAGATTATAGGCTTATGGTGTTACGATAAATGATCTTCCGGACAGAATTATATACTTTTTTACATTGTAGAATGCATCACCAAGTCGCTTACAGTTGGTTGAACTCTCACAACATCAAATAAATAACAACTAAATAACAAAATGTTTTGCCAAACATATCCGTCCCTAATTTCATTGAGCTGAAGCAATGCAATACATTTCTGAACCACCATTCTGAGTGCAAGGTGCGGACCGAACACTCACCATTAGTTAAAAACACCATTTGAGCCCTCAGCATTAGTTAAAGGCATCACTTGAACACTCACTATTAGTTTGATGTACCAATGTGAACACTCACCATTAGTTAAATGCATTACTTTAGCAATTTTGTTGAGCGTGTTGTCCATCTTGCTCTGAGTGTGTTCCATTTCATGGCCAAACTCGTCCAGCATGCTGTGTGGAAAAGATATCTTTGATGCAAACAAAGAAAGCATATAAACGTTCATCACTAGTTAATTTAGACTACGTGCAAGTACTATTTTAAATTATTTCAAGGTCGTACTTCATATGCCTATCGTGAATTTTTTCCAATTCAACTACGTAGAACATCAATGGTTATAGGGGAAAAGTCTATAGCAATAATATGTATCGCTTCTCTTTTGAACTGTTGGCAAAATTGCTTTGAAGAAGCTTCAACCGATCAAACTTTGCAAATAAAACAAGTTCCCTTTGTATAAAAATAGCGTGGGAGTTCCTCCTCCAAACATTAGCCAACATTTAGCGGCCGACTTTCAGATTAGCTCTCTGGCATAATCATCATTCGACACTAAAGGCACCTAGCAAACATTTGTGAAACTAAAAAAACATTCTCCTTAATTAACTGTCGTTGAATGCAGAACGGTCATCAGCCACCATAGTTCAAACTAATTATAAAAACTTTGCAAATAATTATCGTAGATTTTATAAATTACATGCAAGCATACCCAGATAAGCTCCTGATTATGTAAATTATATTAAATTTTATTCAGTAAGGCCACTGACACTGCTTGCTCGTCGACCTCCTGCCCGACTTGCCGCGACATCTGCTTCAGGACGCTCATGGACGACGCGAGCTCCTCGAGCTGCTCGTCCTGCTGAGCCATCACCGCCTGCCAGCAACAAAACCTTAGCCACATCCTAAAAACACGTTGCTAATGCTGGACTACGTTGTGAATGCAATAAAAGAGGAGAAAAAGTTATTCAACTTTCAATGTAATAAATATCTAAATAGTATTTTTACTTTAAATGTATGCTCGGTAGTTTATGGTTTTTAATCTAAGATTCTGTCAATTTTCCCAACAAATTGTCAAAGAGATTACCTATACAAAAGTATCAGTACAAGCTGTATTACCGAAAGATACTACAGTAAATAGATCTTTCAGACTTAACCCAGTTAGCACGGCACTGGCAACAACAGAGCGGAAATTTGTCTAGCTGGAGCCGTATTGTCATAATATTTACAAGTTCATAACTTTATTAGCTAATCATTGACGGCTTTTCGAGCTATACCCACCAATCACAGAAGAGAAATCAGAGATAATGGATAAAGAGGGAAAGATGAGAAGGATGTGAACCAAGGCGCCTGTAGAAAACTTATTGGCAGTCCAATGGCTTCTAGGCTGACAGATTTGTACTTACAATCTGCATTTCTCGTCATAAGTATATTCTTTTGTATTCCATCATCGATGACGAGTTCCAGTTTTACAAAAAAAAAGAAGAAAGAGAGGGAAGGAGCAATCAGTGCTGGGTACCCGGAAGTCTGTATTAAAACCTCTCTTTTTCAGAAAGGAATGAGCTGTAGGATTATTGGCTATAATAACAAAAATTACACATAAGCTGGACAAATGTTCATGCCTGTTGTTGCTGCAGGATAGCTTGTTGTTGTGAGAAGCCTCGGCCATTTGCATTCACATGAGAAGGACTCTCGTCCGCCTGGTTCACAAGGCGGGAGTATTTTGCACTGTTTGCCATGGCTGTGCTTGCAATTTTCTGCAGTGCCGTAGGACTATTTTTTGTGGTGATTTCAACTTCACATTCGTTGGCCAGGCAAACCTGGAAGCAAATCATAACTGAAAACTTTTGAAAGCATAAATATGATGGTGAGTGCAATAACGTATTTTGGTAAATATTAATGTCAATCCTTCAAACTTGATTTGAATAATTGCAGTGAAATAGCAGAAGTTAATTCTAAACATGTCTAATAATTTAGAAAATCTGATCACATTATGATGAGCTTAGAACTACTCTAAAATGATAGGCAAATCATGTGTAATAAATGCTACAATTTTATCTAAATGCTAAATTTCCCAAAAAATTCTTAATATGCCTTATCTGTCATTTATTACATAGGACTTTTGAAAATGCTGAGTTTCTGCTCTGTTGGCAAGATTATTAGTTTCATATTACATTTGGAAATTATAAATGACTAAAACTAACCTCTGTTTCGTAGTCAGAATTTTTGTCTGCAGCAGCCAGGAGCTGGCTGTTCATTGACTGTTGAAAAAACAACAAAGGACAATGTAATAACATTTTTCATTTCATTTCCAAATAACTCAATGAAACACAATATAGAGTTAACATTGATCACAATTAATTGAATCATTTCATATGAAGAATTGGATTACCTTCACTTCCTCTCTTGTTTGAAGGATGAAACTGTGCCGTGTCTTCAGTTCTGCTAAATCTATTCTAAACTTCTTTGGGTTTTTCTCAACAATGGAAATAGTTTCCTCCAAATCTTCCAAGTCCCACTCAATGGAATGGAGGGAATTGCGTAGCTCAGTTGAAGTCCAGTCGAGTTCTTCCTTGGGTGTGACAGGTGTGCCCACCAACAGAGAAGACCCAGAGGAGAAAGAGCCTCCTGAAACTCTGGATGAAGTCTCTGCAGCACAATTCAATTTTTGCCAACGTTGGAACAATGTCCGTGTTTTGCTCAGAGCTTTAGACACCTCACTGAAATATAATAAAATTATTTTAGAACTAAAAAGGCAGTAGGCTCAGCTTAATTATTCAAAAGCTTGGCCTGATAAATATACATATATTACTTGTAGCACAGGAGCTTTGGGCAACAGCTTTGAAGCGCAGACAGAACCAAAATATATAATTTAATACTAACATTAATTTAGCACATTATTCTTTAAATAGTGTTGAATATAAGTGTCACTATAAGATTTACCACCTTAATTAAACGTAGGGCTGTAAAAAAATATTGTAGACACAAAAAACGGGAATCTGATGCTATTCTAGAAACAGGGAAGTACAAATTTCATGAATATGAATATATGGTACCAGTACTCATTCATAGGAATATGTAAAGAATAAACTGTAGAAAGTGATAAGGTATACATACCTACTTTCTGGGAGCAGGTAATGCACTAACATTAGGCGCAGATAATGCAAAAAATCTAGAAATGGATTAAGCAGAAATTCTACAAACAAACAAGGTACATACAAATTCCCAGTACAGATGGAAAGCAAACTCTAGCAACAGACAATATATACATAAATATTAAATTAGCAAGAAGGAGGTAATGGAGTATACCTACAATCAGCCAGCTTAGATAGCAGAATTCAATTAAGAGGTTAGCTCAACAATACCCTCAAGAGTTATGATATTAGTTGACATTCTTATACATTATATTTTATGAAATATCAAGTGTCATGCAAAAAAAATTTCAAACATATTTTAGGATGAAAGTTTGTCAGGAAGATACTGATACACATACATTGATCTTTCATTTGCAAGACTCCAGCTTACTTATATAGGTGTGTACTTTTGGTCACATGGAAGGCAAGTATAAAATTGTCATATAACTTATATACACCTTGAAAATTTGGTGGACACTCATGGAAATATTTGTTTGACAGTGTACAGTAAGTGTATAACAAGCATGACAGAGCACACAACATAAAATTAATCATCTTTGTATGTAAAATCAGAATCTTCAATTTAGATAAATGTTTCAAAATCAAGACAAAAGTCGACCATACAATAAAACAAATTAAACAATCAGTAAAGCACATGCCATTGAAATTTACTGGTGGATCAACTCAAGTCACTTACTCTTTAACCACGAAAAAAGGATCTTCAAGAGTCATAGCTTGCAAGTGCTGCAGAAATCTGGGTCCTGAAGCTGCCTGAACCTGAGCTTTGCAGGAAAGCTTTCTTAACACGCTAGACAACTCACCACCTTAGAAGAATTTAGTGTGTTAGTAACAAGAGTTTCATGAGGATGCTAGACTGTACATTGTGCTGTTGGTAGGTTGAAGATGGAAGATGAAAATTTGAGACAATAAGAAATGCTGGTGACCATTCTATTATGCAGTGAGAAAAACAACAAACCAAGTTTTGTGCATATTGCATGCTGGAGTGTAAATTTGAAATGAAGTTAGCAAGAATTTGCTTCTTTAGGAATGTAAACATAGCTAGTATTTTTCAACCAAAAATAAATTCCTTATGTAGTCTGATTAGGAAGCCCAGGCTCAGTAAATAAATCTATAAACAGATCCCAAGCCTTTTATGCAGAAATGTTATCTGAAGCCAAGAAGCAGCAATATTGATGAGGGCATAATAGGACAGAATGGCTAATGAGGGGAACACATCAGACTAGTTGGAAATAGCATAGAAATGAGATTGCATTGATTGATGTAAATCCATACAGGAGTTAGATATATAAACCAATATATATTTAAATAAGTATTATAAAAACACCAACACTCATTTTACCTAATCAACTGTACTTATAGTAGTTTTGTTTTGTTAAAAACCATTCTAATGTACAATCCATAAATTAACTTTACATTTTATAAGCTATTATTTTGTACTAGAATCAGTAAAAATTAATTTAATATCAATTATACCAGTATTTATGTCATAGCAGTCCTCACCAATCCTATGCAGTCCTTGCTTGGCCTGTGTTCAATGATGCTGCATGCAGTCTTGTAATAAACTTGCTTCAAACAGATCATTTAATATGAATGGAATATCCAACAAGGTTTGTCAACAAAATGAGTGTAAATGCTATTTCATCTGTGATTTTGGGATCTAGCAGTTAAACAATTATTAATCAATTTCAAGAGTTTTATAGAATTGCACAAATCTTATGGATGCAGTGGGGAAACACAAAAATTTTGCATAGACTAATTTTTTGATATATTCAGCTGCAGATTGGCATGCAGATGTCCAAACTAGAAAGTTGGACAGAAGCCACCCATGAAAATGGCAAAAATGCCTGTGCTTGAGGTCAATATCACCTGTTCCTACAGATTTTGACTAATTTATTTAGTAAAAATTATGAAAATAACACCTTTTTGCACACGATTTTTTTAAAACTAACCTATGTAAAATTATCTTCTGTACCCCAGGGCACAGACTTTTGCAAATGCACTGCCAAGATATGATTTTCAAGCCCAAAACATTGTCAGTAGTATTCAGCCATCACCCTCTATATTTGCGGCTTATTTTGATTGCCTGGAACCATCTAAACATCACAGCATCATGCATAGCCAATGTAATGAGTGTATATCCATGCTGTTCTAGGGCTGGAAAAGTCCCACATTTTTCTGAAATGGTATTGCGGCTCTAATATCATATAATTTTAGTAGGTATGAAATCTCAAGGCTCTAATATCATGTATTTTTGTTTGATTGAAAAAATTGTAGTTTGCCCTCTGCAAACATGTCATTTCATATAATTTCCTACTTCCCCAATATGCACTACCATAAAATGGGGTAACTTTTACCGGCGGGGTAACTTTGACCACTTTTCGTTTTTTTAACAAAAACCCCCAAAACTCAAAAACGATTTGACATAGAAAAATTTTGTCAATGGCCATCAAAGGCCTAATACTGAGGCTACGTAACACAATAGAAAGATTTAAAAAGTTTGCATATCTAATAGGTTAAAAAATTAAAAATGTGACCCACAAAAAAGATCTATTATTTAAAGCCTGTCGGAGTACCCCCTCCAATTTTTTCTATTTTTTGGTAAAATAACTCCAGGTTTTGATGCATTGTAGTACCGTCAACCGGGGCTACTCGGGACGGTTTTGAGCGTTTTTTGTTAATAACTTCTTACGATGAAACATTTCATAAACAAGTTTAGGCTCATTTTATAGCTCTTTGTGAGGGCTATCAAATGGCATCTTCAAAATAATTCCATATGCTATTCGTAAGGTGCCAGAAGCAAAAAAAGTGTCCCGATTAGCCCCGTCGAACGGGGCTACTCGGGACACTGGGAATGAAACTTCATTTTAAAACACTTGAAGCATGCAGAGCGTACCATCAACCGGGGCTACTCGGGACAGGCGGGGCTACTCGGGACAGGCCTATGACACGTCGTAAAACTGTTGTAGTAGCGAAACTAATTGGAATATCGCAAAACTAAAAATAGTGGCGTAAACGTAACTATTTTTCCTATCTATCTAGTATAAAGGAAGGCGAAAAACACTACATTTACTTGCTTTGAAAAATTCCTGAAAAAAATGGTGCAAAACTATGTTTTGTAAAGTTGCAACTGCTAAGGTATGTAGCAAAAAAAATATTCGCTGTATTAAAAAATTTTACTTACATAAAAGTTGCACCCAGGTGTCAGCTTGAAAACGTAATTGACAGAATTTGCCTATCTCATTCCAAAAAGAAATGGCAGCCATTTTTGCATGGCGGGGCTACTCAGGACACCCCCCCGGGGCTATTCGGGACACCCCCAAACACGCATTGAGGGTAGAAAATCAGTTAGCAAAGGCTTCAATTACGAAAAAAATTGATTAAAAACAAAGAATATTGATCACATTTTCCTTGCTCAGCGAAAAAAATTTCACTTATCGAAAAATTAGTGCATCATTGGTCATCACAAAATTGTGCATAGCATGTCATGTATAGAATTGTACACCAGGCATTATAGAATGAAAAGTAATTGACCTAAACTATGATTTATTTCTCCAAAAGATAGGCTGGTTGTCACTCAAACATTCCTTTCACCAAGGTTAATGATCACAGGAAGTTAATGATCAGGCAAAGTTAATGATCACGGGAAGTTAAATACTAGGTGAAGTTAATGATCACGCAAAGTTAATGATCAGGCAAAGTTAATGACCAAGTGAAGTTAATGATCATGTGAAGTTAATGATCACAGGAAGTTAATGATCACCTGAAGTTAATGATCACATGAAGTTAATGATCACGGGAAGTTAATGATCAGGCAAAGTTAATGACTACGCGAAGTTAATGATCACGTGAAGTTAATGACCACGCGAAGTTAATGATCACCTGAAGTTAATGATCACGTGAAGTTAATGATCACGTGAAGTTAATGACCACGCCAAGTTAATGATCATGGGAAATCCCAATTCAAATGATGTGAAATTATGAGCCTTCCTGTAAGCTTACAGATAGGAAAAAAAATGTTATAAGGCTGCTGATATGAAGCTTGCAGTGGACAAGGTTGTTGTAAATGCTCAATGGCATGTTCATGGATACCATAATATCACATCAATAATACAGTAATATCACATCAATAATAAGCTTTTGTTTTGCAAACAAAAGCAGGGTCATAAACGATGGCCGAAGTCACTCCAGCATTTATGACTTTGTTTACGACCCTGGCGTTTATGACCCTGGCTTTTAAGACCCATTCTACATCATCTACAATGAAAGAGGAGGACTTCTGAGTATTGTTAGTAATGGATGAGTAGGCTCTGCATGCTTCAAATGTTTTGAAATGAAGTTTTATTCCCATTGTCCCCAGTAGCCCCCACTGAAGGGGCTACTTGGGACAATCTCTATTTTGCGTCTGGCACCTTATGAATAGCATATGGAATTTTTCTGACAACGCCATTCAATATCCCTGCCAATTAGCTATAAAATGAGACTAAACTTGTTTATGAAATGTTTCATCATGAGAAGTTATCAACTGTTATTTAAAACTAATCGTTCAAATCTGTCCCCAGTAGCCCAGGTTGACAGTACTCATCCATTACTAACAGTACTCTGAAGTCCGCCTCTTTCATTGTAGATGATGTAGAGGTAGAATAAATGACATTTTCTGTGATTTTTACTTGTTTTTCCTTTATTGATATGATATTGCCATATACATTAATTACCGTATTATTGATGTGCAATTATCGTATTATTGAATTTGCAAACTATGACACTTTCCTAAAATTTTTCTTTTGCATATGTAACTAGAAGAGTTCTACTACAATGCATGGATTTATTTGGAGTTATTTTACCAAAAAATAAAATTGATTTTACCACCCGGTCAAAGAAACCCCAAGAGCTGGGGTAACAAAGACCATCACTTTTTTTTAAATTACATCAAAACTATGAGAGGCAGGAGCCAGCAATTTATGGTGAGTAAAGCTAGCGTATAGACCTGTATTTTGCATGTTTCAATTTAAGTTTAACTTATCTAGTAAAAAAATGGCATCATTTTGAAAAAAAAAGTGGTCAAAGTTACCCCAGTTTACGGTATTTCAACAAGTCACCTAAAACGTTTCTCTATAAATCGCATAGTTGCGGTCATGTCAGAGCAGTCCTGCATTATCAAGGGATCAGTTGCCACTCAAGTAAAAATAAATGTTGGTGTTGACTGTTTTTATGGTAAAATTAGAGATTAGGGGTAACAAATGCATGGGACTTAGTAAAAAGTTTGCAGCTGCCAGCTCGTAAATGGCTTTCAAATGGCTGAGATATGGAATTCACCTCTCAAAGAAATTAAATCATGGCTCAAAGAAATGGAATCACGGCTGGCAAATCCATAAAACCACGGCTCCGAAAATTCAGTCACTGCTTGCCAAGTAGATATATTCCATGCCTGTGCTGTTCATTGCACATAGGCTGTAACTTTTGTATAATTGTAATGCATATAATTATTGTGGTTTATGTTTTGGCAAGATCTTCTGAAGACATAAATTCTGCTATTGACGAGTTGCAAAACTATGTTATATAGATATTTCCACCCACCATCTTCAGAAAATTCTGCCTTATATTCTGGATTAGGCAGGTGTGAATCCGTAACCAAATTCTAAATCAAGCAAAAACCTGTTGGGAATGAAGATAAGAAATTTCCTACTTATTACTAAAAATATTGCAGCTCCAATGTCATCTATTTTTTATAAATTTGGAATCTTGCTGCTTGATCATATAAATACTTTCATTAACAATTACATAAAAGATAATTTATCCAATGGGAATTTTTTAGCTCAATGTGAATAAAGAGGAAGCTCAAGTCATGGTTGGCCATTTGAAGAGTTGATATAGGGTAAACACACCATATTCCAACACATTAAGGACGTAGCAAGAATAGATCACCGTATGTGCAATTCGAGTTCTGATTGGTTTACATCACTCTCAAAACACCATACTATGCGCCAGCAATGATAAAACATCACAAACTGTTGCCATATTTATTTAAAAGCCTTTAGAATTCAAATCTACAAAATTGCTAAATTCCGACACTGTGTGTGACTAAATGCGGCATATTGTGAGACTTTCTGACAGCACTTAAAAATCGTAATTTGTAATTCTGACACCCTGCGTTGGAATTCTGACACCCTGTGAGAGCTGTATTGGAATCCGACAGTAACGACACCCTGTGTGTCCTAATTCTGACACCCTGTGTCAGAATTAGTTTTTGTGTCTAAAATCGTCTCATAAATCAATCATTTATTAATTTATTTACTGCTTAAAATCAGCAAATACAAGCATACTTAAAGGATTCCTAATATATTCACAGACTTATTTAAAAGTCTCAAACCTTGATATTCTTTCTACACAAACAGTTTATCACTATTTAGTAAAGTAAGGTCAACTATCAACTTTCATACCTGTTTTGACGTTTTCACTAGTTGACTTGGACTTTTGCTCTGCGGATCTTAACATTTTCCCGCTAAGCCTAGTGTTATGCAGAAATCTGGCGCGCAATAGTAAGATGTCACTATTTCAACCATCTACGCATGCGTGGAAATAAGACCAAGCTTATTATAAAGGAAAAAGTTGAGGGGTGTCAGAATTACCCACAGTATCAGAATATGGTGCGTTTACCCTATATATTACATTCCTGCAAGTAATGTAATATATAGGGTCCTTGTGATTACAGTCAATTTTATGGTTTCTACCCATTCTTATGATCCTTCAAAAGTGGAAAATTAGGCAGAACCACAGAAGCTAGTGAAACTACCTGAGAAAAAAACAAAAACACCCTTGAGAACCACTGTGCAGAGAGTGAACTAAGATTGAAAGATCTTCGGCTACTCATTAGCGGCAAAATTTGCGCCTCCAGAAGATCTTGCCAACACATTTGCATTGAGAGTATTGCATTTTGAATATTCTCCAATCTTTGGCAACGCACTTCAGTGGGTGTGGCAGAGGTAGCTGCGGGCTGCGGCAGGCACCAGCAACCCAGACCTCAGTAGCAAGACTCCAACTGCTTAGATGGCTTTGTATGTTGTCGACCCGTGGGAGAGAAGGTTGTGCACTTGCAGTTCTAATTCAGTCCAGAAATGAAAGTAGATGTAACTTTGTGTGGAAATAGCTTCTTTTTTCCTCAGAAAATAGTATTTCAAGCTACATCTCACACTATGGATCAATCGAATAAATGGGATATTCAGCAGCTTGAAGGCAAGTGAAATTTCCATTCTTCTGGTTATGAACTTTTGTGCTGGTCGAACCCAAGTTGCATGCACTTAACTACGAGTGACTACGACTAACCGGCGGACTACGTGACATATCACATACCGCATATGTGTTAGTCCTTGTCTCCTTGTGCTTGCTATCCGTCTTTCATTAATAATGATGCAACAATTATAAAACTGCATTTGGTCATAAAATCTACAAATTAACTGACAAATCCTGTTTTATCACACTGGGAGTTCAAATCAATGTTAGGTATTTGGATGAATGTAGCCTATTTTTTTTTTTTTGGCTGGCAGCAGCACCTTGGAAGTTGGAACCAATCACTCATCCATAGAGGTGGAGTCTACTTAAGTGCTTAACTAATAGGAATCTTTACATCGCATGTGTAATTTAGGTCTAATCAAAACCTATCTAGGCCAAATTTATCAAAAAGCTCTTTATCAAGAATGCCCACTAATTTGATTGTTCCCAGAGGCCAGATTTGTTCTAGCAAGAATTTAAGTAGTGTGGTAAATATTAAGCAGGTTTTCAACCCCAAAGTTTGTCAAATTGTAACCAATATTAACTTAATTAACATAACAGCTAATGATTAACAGTACCTATGCATACGCTACTGGCTTTCTGGCTACTGCAAGCGTTGTCAGAAATATTTTGCTTGGCTTTGACTTGTCTCAACGTAGCTTGCTTAATGCCAAGCGCATGGTTGTTGACGGATGACTTTAGGTGCCTATAGACAGCGCAAATATTTGCGGGATGTAGGTACTTGCTTCATCTATCCCAATCGATTCTTTTATTTGCCTTGATTTCTTGCAATTAACATTCCCGATTAATAATTTTTTTCATGTGCAGGGAAGGAACCCAAGACCCAAGTGGAGGAATGGAGGAACCTTTTCAAGAAGCAATGTCACGACTGCACTCCATATGTTTCAACTTCTTCGAAGAGAAAATCTAATATACGAGAACGGTGCTGCGCAGGCGTTTGTTTGCTATGTATTAAAAATGGCAGCGTAAATTATTTGTTGGTGGACATGTTTCCAAGTACGATAGACTGGCACCAGAGGTGAAACCACCCCAATGATACCTTTGAGAAAGGAAAGCACATCAGATGTAAGGATCATGAAGACATAAAAAATCTTGAAGCAGAAATAGAAAAAATAGTGCATTTTTCAAAACGGGTTTCTGCTTCTCAGCCTGACTTTGCTGAACGTGCCTCTGCTTCTCAGCCTGACTTCACCAAACATGCCTCTGCTTCTCAGCCTGACTTCACCGAATGTGCCTCTGCTTCTCAGCCTGACTTCACCGAACGTGCCTCTGCTTCTAGGCCTGACTTCACTGAACATGCCTCTGCTTCTCAGCCTGACTTTGCCGAACATGCCTCTGCTTCTCAGCCTGACTTTACCGAATGTGCCGCTGCTTTTCAGCCTGACTTCACCGAACGTGCCTCTGCTTCTCAGCCTGACTTCACCGAACATGCCTCTGCTTCTCAGCCTGACTTCACCAAGTGAGCCTCTGCTTCTCAACCCGACTTCACCAAGTGAGCCTCTGCTTCTCAGTCTGATATCGCCGAACGTGTCTCAGCTTCTGAGTCTGCCTTAACTGAATGTGCCTTGACTGAATGTGCCTCTGCTTCTCCGCCAGACTTCGCTGAACATGTCTCAGCTTCTCAGTCAGACTTCACTGAACATGCCTCTGCTTCTCAGCCAGACTTTGCTGAACATGCCTCTGCTTCTCAGCCAGACTTCACTGAACATGCCTCTGCTTCTTAGTCAGACTACACTGAACATGTCACTGCTCAACAGATCCCTGAAGAATGCGAATCCTCTCTGCATTCTCTAGTTGACGTAGTTTCTTCATTTCAACGAGACTCTGTTCCTTGCTCTTCAGCTGAAATGAAGTGTTATCAGAAGTCAATTGATGGATTTGTCAGTAACCAATCACTTAATGAAGCACCTCAAAAGATGAAGCATGCTTCATCCACATGGACAATTGCTCAAATTGGCAAAGCCGTTTTGGATGTCAAAAGCACACTAACAAAAATTATACCTACGAGCCATCAAGGAAGTCTTGCGCTAAAGGATAGTTCATCTTCAGCCGGCCCATTGAATAAATGTCAGAATCTGAATGAGGTTCTTTCTACTGAATTGTTCACTCTTGTACAGCATCAAAATGAGTGTTTAATATGATGTTCAGCATGCCATAAGTACGCCACACATTGTTACCGGGGGTAATTTTAGGGCGGACCAAGCTCATGTGTTTCAGCTCACAATTATATACTTTTCTATTTCATTTATTTATTGTTTTCATTTACTGCAAACATGGTTATTATTTGTCATATTTCATGCATTTGTGTCTAATGTTGCCCTATGTTATTTTGTCTTGTTTCAGGTATTAAACAACCCCATAAACCTATATTAATGCATGCCAAATAAACTTGTCTCAAGTTAGCAGAAATTCTGAAACTCACACCGCCATCACCAGTTGGTGAGTTGGCGGTTTAGTCTGCACTTTAATTATCAATTATTTAATTATCAATTATGTACATATTTTAGGCTAATTGTTTTATGCATTTTGGTTCTTATTCATTCTATTGTCATTTATTATTATGGTTCTTTTCATATCTGTCAGTTTGATTAATTTTTTGTGCGATGCTTGTGTTGCAATAATTACTTCAATCGTTATCTCAAATCATTTTTGCACTTGCATTTGCCCTTGACTGTTTTAACTCTATAATATATTCCTTAATTCACTCCTGTTTTGTTGTTCATGTTTAAAGTCAAATTAACTTCACTAAATTCCCTCACATAGCAAATAAATTATTATGTCTCTTATTGCATGTATATTTATGTTCATTTGTTTGTATCAGTTGCTGTGTGTATCACTCCACCCATAGTTTCATTCCATAGTTTCATATTCCATAGTTTCATAGTCCTAAATTTGCTTGTTTATTGATTCAATTCTAATGATGAGTTTGGCAAACTATTTCTTATTGTATAAAATTTTCTAACATATTGGCTTTTCTTTTAATAAATGAAAATAAATACTCAAATAAGAGCAAATCTCTAAGTAATTCATTAATTCCTGTTTTCTGTGACAAGCACTATAAGAGCAATTTTCAGTAAGTGAACGAGTTTGTTCCACTCGCTAGTGCGCCCGGTTACAACGTGATGAGCTTATTACCAAATTTTCGACACAGTTCAAACTTCCCTCAAGCGGCTTTTCTGTTGGGGTCTCATTTGCAGAAGATAAAATGGAGGATTACCAAATAGGTCACAGCCAAGCCTGGTACAATTTCATAAGTCGCCTTGTGGCCCACATTCGGTCAGGGAAAGATTCATTCCACTGGAAAGCAACCCATGATACTGGGACAACTGGAACTCTGTCGATGATTCGTTCTGTTTCTGTAACTGAAATTCTCTGCCGTGCAGCTATCCATGTTCTGAAAATGAAGGGTGCTGTGGTGCACTTCGAAACTGAGATTGCATTCTTGCAATCGTGCAAAGTGGATGTCAGAGACATTGGCCATTCAAGGTAAGCTAGGTACATTATTGGTAAAAAAAAACTCTGAATTACTTAGAAATGAATTCTCTTCTAATATTTAGTTTGTTTTCTTTTATTATAATGCGTTAAAAATTGTTGCACATTTATTGCAGGAACAACTTCCTAGAAATTCTTCAGGCGGCAACGGTGGTGATTTGTTGAAGGAACCTACAGATGTTGCTGCGGCCACTGTTGAGCACAGGACTACCACCCCATATTTATCTCACAGCTGACAAATCGACAATAAATCATCACGCAAACCAAGCAATCTTGCTCGTTGTGAACTTTGATGGGAAAAGGATTGCAGTGCCTGTTGGTGCACCTCCTGTGTATTCTGTTGCTGATGCAAGCAACAGTACTGTTCAGCTTGTGGGTGGTGGTGCGGAAGCTTTTGCTGATAGCATTATTGATACCATACTGGAAAAAACAGGGCTTCCTGAGCATCACTTGATGCAATCAACAGGTAGGGAGCTAGCTTGCCGGAATATCTAACAGTTTTATGGTTTGTGGGTCGAATCTAGTAAAATGATAGGACTGGTATGAAATCATGGGTGTACCTACTAGAAAATGGTTAAAGAAATTAAATTTTGTTGATCATTTCTGCTATTTACCCTAACTGATGACTATTCAATCATTCTATTCTGACGTGTTTAGTCAGCAACCGCTCTTGCTAATAGGTATGTTCTTTTCCAGGTGCAACGTGTGATGGACAATATGTTGTCTCGCCGGCATTTGCTACACGCCTTGCTGAGCGTGTCAGGGTCCCATCTGGTATCTTCGCATTCCCTGATATGTGGGATGCCGGCCATTTTATGAACTTGGTGGTCACAGATGTGCACTACGTTGAACAGCCGTCATTCAAGAGTTCTTCACAATTCTTGAACACGTTTATAAAACGTTGTAATGTTTTTTTGGATGAGCTCCAACATGGTAAAGGGTACGCGATGTTGAGAGCAACTGCTGAAGCAAGCAAGTCTATTGCGCATGCTCCCAAAAGTTATGCGCAACATAGGTGAGTTGGATTCAGCTTTTGTAATATTTTATTTTGTCTCCTAATTTATTCGAGAGATGGAGTAATGTGCATTATGTAGTTACATTTAAAGTCTTTATAAATTTAGAAAGCCTTTCAAATCTCTGTTGAGATTGAAGTATTCGATTGTATCCTAAATGAAGTATTGCTTATTGTATCCTAAATGAAGTAGGTACTGTTTATTGTATCCTAAATAAAGTATTGATCATTGTACCATAAATAAAGTATTGATTATTTTACCCTAAATAAAGTATTTTTAAAGCTGATTTTTTGGTTTTTGCAGCATAAATTTTGCACCATTATATGAAAGTTTTTTTACAGGTAACAGATGAATGCCCAGATTTTAAGGACCATTTATGAAAATCTGTTGTACAGCCATCATTAGGTTTCTCAATCCATTTATCATTTTGCAGGGGTACGAGCTCCAACTTCCAGCAGTGGCTGAGCATAAAAAAGAGCCTTCCTGCCATAGTGGAAGGGTTCCACGCAATGAACCTGCGTAGCAAAGTTGATCCCAATGAAGAGCTCAAGTTCCCAATCCAGGGGCAGGATTTTGTATATGATCTGTTATGTTTCTTTTTATAACTATATTAATTTGATTTGATGATTTTCATTAGTTTTTCATGTCATTTGCAGTATATTTTGGAGGAAAACTGCTGGAACTAACTTGAATTATTGGTAACAAAAATTTAGGTCTCATATTAACTATTTTTTTAACGAGATTCAGTTTAAAAGAGTGCTATACTGTTTCTTGTTGAATACTACTTAGCTTAGTTGCATAGATTTTTATTCTCTAGTTATAAATAACAGTATAAAATACTTGATAAGTATATGATAGAGCAATTCCAATTTTCCTCTCATTCAAATTATTTACTTATTCAAACTTGTAAAACTTCTGATTGGATCATTATATTCTTTACTAATACCTTCCTGTTTATTACTGTGATTATTTTGGTTCATTGAGATGTCAGTTCAATTACGCAAATGAGTAAGTAACGCATAGATAAGGAAAGGTTTATAAGATAATTTATCCTATTCTGTGCATAAAGATACTGAGATGTATTCACAGAAATAGCCTTTCCACAGCTTTTCCTATTGGATTTTCTGGGCCTACTCGTCCAGACGATGAATTTTCTTCAGGACTTTACCGTTTCTATTTGGGAAGCAATGAAGTTTACAAGAAGCCTCATCAATCACTGGGAATCCATCTCCGTGTCAACTTTAGAAGGGCTGCCTCGTCTTTCCCGGCACCAAACGCAATTGGAAATGTTCAAGTATATTGGTTTGGAACTTCTAACAGGCTACTTGGTTGTGCATCAAGAGAAGGGAAAGATTGCTTGGGAGGCTCGTGAGCTTGCAGACTGTTGTGCAGTGGCTGAAATACTTAAATGAGATCAGGGTTGGCGATTTTTTTGATTTTTTTAAAAAAATCAAAAAAATCAAAAATCAATGAATTTTTTTATTTTTTCATTTTTTTGATTTATTTGATTTTTTTGATTTTTTCAACTTTTTTGTATTTTTGAGGTGTTATTTTTTATGTTGCAATTAGCCTACTAACAATAACAGTATATGGATCATAATGGATGGCTAATAAGGGCACTTACTGCCTTCAATAATGGCCAACAGGCCAAGGTAGTGTTCACCACTTAGGGATTTTTGGGTAAACAATTTTTGATAAGTCTATTCATTAGCTTTGTAAAGTTTGTATGGAGCAAGGTAATGAGCTAAATATTGACCATATAACTGGCTTCAACATACAAAAACACTTCAGGAATGCAGACCTCCTAAACATTGATGAGTCACATAACAGATAGGTAGCTGATAGCACAGTGCACAGCACTATCAATAGATCTACTAGTTTTATGTCCTTTAAATCTACCAGACTCTACCCTCTATACACACCGACTAGTAGTGACTGAGTGACTGACTGCACTGTTC